AAAAAAAAAAAAAAATGTTGTAATATAATCTACACTGCCATGTCATTCTACACTGCGCTTTTTTGTCTTTTTTTTATTCTTTATCTTTATTAACTTTTTATCTATTTCTTTTTTTTTTATTTGATCCTTTGGTGAATTCTTTGATGTTTGATCCTTTGATATATAAATATACATAAAAATTCATAGCATTACACTGCCTTGCAAGAGAAAAAAAAAAATTCTAAAGCTGATTTAGACTTAATGATCATCTAATTTTTCCAATATTTATAGTTTCGAAAAATTCGAACTATTTGCAAAAGTCATAATTATGATTATATTTGAAATCTTTTGTATGAATATGTTGGATTGAATAAAAAATTAAAAAAAAATCCTAATAATTTGCTATCAGAAAATATTTAATCCAGAAATAATTCTAAATTATAATTGGAAAGAGAAAATTTTGCAGAAGTAATTATTAATGAAAAGAGAAACAAAACCAAAATATACCAAAAAAAAAGAAAAAAAAAGCATAAATGTCCCTTCTGAATTTACAAAGTACGATAAATGAATATGACCAAATTACGGTAAAGTACAAAAGTAATAGGTTTGAATGAAAACAATTTTCCATTTGATTGATTACATTGTCTACTGAATTGACAATGTTGTCGCTTGTTTTTCTCTTCCCTTTTGCGCCACACTGATGACAATATTTATAAAATTAACAAATTAACATGATTGAATGACAATTTAACTCTGAAGATTGCATCTAAAATTAGTTATTACCCCTTCAATTCTCTAAGAGTTAAGTCTCATTTTGCATGATATTTTATTAGTGGGTAAAATATACCAGAAACATAGGTAAATTTACCCGAGAAAGAGCATCAAATACTTCATTATTTGCCTTGTTGAGTCATAAAATCTACCCAAGAGTAATCACATATATTCATTTTATTTCCGAAAACCATGCAAAAATGTGAAATTTCTAAGTAATTGGTTGAAAGTTGCAAAGACGAAGAATAGATTGATTACATATCTGTCATAGGTCAACAGGTCAGTGTAAAAGGAGATGATGATGAGGTAGTACTTTTTTGAAATTTTTCGAAATTTTTTTTTGGAACTTTTTGAAATTAAATATGAATTCAATTACATAAGAATTAAATATGAATTAAATAATGTAGGGAAGATTACATATCTATTTTAGGTGAACAGATTAATGTAAAAGGAAATGATAATGTGGTATTTTTTTGAAATATTTCGAAATTAAATATGAGTGTAAATAATGTGGGAAAAAATGAAAAAATTTCTTTGAAATAAATTTAAATTAAAACTTTTGATGTTACTGTATTTTAAGAATTTGAAAAGAAATATATATATATATGATAATGTAACTAATTATAGTATTTTAAATTTGAACTAACTGATCAACTTAAACAATATGTAGCATAAATTACGATAGAGGTCATACTAAACATGTCATATTTACCTGGTAACTGCTGTTCAAATTGATTAGTTCATTCTTGTTCAATTCTTGTTCAATCAATATCTCTTATCATATTGTTTGATAAAAATATGATATTATCAAGTTTGAGGAAAAAAAAAGCCGATCCATATTGATTGAAACTATAAATATGCTTGAGAACATTTATAAAATTTGAAAAAAAAAAATGCGCCAAAAGTATATTGCATAAAGCGCAATAAGTCTTCACTGAAATGAAATTTATTTTAGCATTAAGTTTTAATTCAACAATTTTTTTTTTGAAATCCGACAATTTTAAAATTTAACAATTTTTTATTTTGAATTCGACTTTCTTTTTTTTTGAACTTATTTTAGGATTAGGCCTTAATTCGACAAATTTTCCTTATGCTTAATTAGCATATCCGTTCTGAGGATTAAATACAGTATGTTCTAATTAATCTTTTTATTTTAAATTCGACAATTTTTTTTGAATTTATTCTCCGATTAAATCTTAGTTTGACAAATTTTCCTTACACTTAATTAGCATAACATTTGAAGGATTAAATACAGTATGTTTTAAGCTAATTT